ACGGATAATCTCTCACAATCGTAAGAATGTTGAACGTTCATTAGCTATATCTCAAGTAAATAGATAAACGGATAATCTCTCACAATCGTAAGAATGTTGGACGTTCATTAGCTATATCTCAAGTAAATAGATAAACGGATAATCTCTCACAATCGTAAGAATGTTGGACGTTCATTAGCTATATCTCAAGTAAATAGATAAACGGATAATCTCTCTCAATCGTAAGAATGTTGGACGTTCATTAGCTATATCTCAAGTAAGTAGATTCCAACATTCTTACGATTGTGAGAGATTATCCGTTTATCTATTTACTTGAGATATAGCTAATGAACGTCCAACATTCTTACGATTGTGAGAGATTATCCGTTTTTTTATTTGAGCCAACGTTTCGCCTTTGCAACTTCATTAGGGTATGTACTAACTCTGATGAAGCCGCAAAGGCGAAACGTTGGTTCAAATAAAAAGATCTTTTATAATTATCTGGAGTTTAAAGGTCGTTTTTCTCTAACCTTTTAATAAAAATATGTAAATCCCTCCAGTGTGCACTACAAATGTTGAAAGACAATAAAAAATACAGTTGGCGAAGGTATTTCGGCATGTATGTGAGAGCATGATGGGTATTTTTTTTAACGGCTACACCTGTCTTTTAAATTTTATTAAGAGCGAGCCTAGGATAAAAACTACTAATGATTTGGAAAAAACTTATTTATACATTTTGTTCGTACCCAAATTTGTTTAGCAGATTCGTGAAGAACCTGCCATAAACAGGCAAGAACAATTAAGATTATTATTATTATACGAGTCGTTTTAATTTAATGATTAGATAACTTTAACAACCACTGTCAAGAAATTATTTGTAACTTTATATTTACTTTAATAACTTTGCTGTGGTATTATCAAATTAAGATGTTAATTGATTAGGTTGTAAAGTTATTGCTTCTGAAGTGCAAGAACGAAATATTTGATATAATACAGTGACACTTAGACGAAGTTGTTGATTACTCAAAAAACAAAGGAAAGGAAAACATCAAATATTTCTTGTTAATAAATGTTAACTAGATATAAACTAAAAACTACTTTCTAAAGTAGATTTAATTTATTTATTATCTTCGTTATTTATTCTTTGTTAAGAAGCATCACTTGCATGCTCTGGAAATTACCTAAAATATATTGTAACGTGTGATAAAAGCGTACCTTTTGTTGATGTTGCCATCTGTCCATGAGTTTTTGAACTTCTGCTCAGTATAGTTGAATTACTTCTCAGAGCAGTAGTCGCTTTGGTTGTAGAGCCTGAAACATTGAAAGTCAAGAACAGGTTATATCATTAGAAATATAATCAGAAATATTGGCAAAGTGACACTTCTAAAATAGGGTTAGCTCTTTTAACATTCTATTATTTAGATACTGCAGTCAACACTTCTTTTTAGCACTATATCGTTAAGGCATTAGAGTCAACATTTCTACAGCACATTAGATTGCTAAAGCACTAGAGTCAAATGTACTTTTTACAAAAATAACTCCCTGAATGTTTAACACTTTGCTATCTCTAAACACGTATATATAGTTTAGATTAATAACTAAACAAATTGACATACAGATAAAAAGATAAAAACATTTGTGGCACTTTGAGTACAAATTTATATACACTCTCCTGTCGACTATAGTCGTTAGGAGTATATAAATAGGATTTAAAATGAAAGAATACCTGAATTTGTAGTATTTACAACTTTATTTGGTTTCTCTGAATTTACTTGAGCTGGTGTAAGAAAAACAAAAGAAGTCGAAGATATATCACTAGATGGCGATGCTGTCGGAGAAACTATATATATAAAAAAAAGAGTGAGTTTTCGCGTAATTTTCTATGTAAAAAAATCTAATCAGTTAAGTAGTTGCAGTAGTTAACTAAATACAATCGAACTGTTATTATAAAATATTTAATAATTGTTTAAGCGATTTTATAATGATTCAGCGCAAAAAATTAAAAATTACGCTCATCCGTTATTCTAAAATGACAAGAAAGTACCGAAATTCATCATGGTCACAAAATACGTTTGGAAATTTAGCTTTAAATGCCCATTTATCTGCCAGTTTATCACAAGTAAGTTACATTTTGCTTATCATATATGTTGATTTAGCTCACCAATTCTGGCCAACAAAACGCAAGCCACTTATTTGTGTAGGTCAGCATTTTGATAAAAAGTCACACCAACGAATAGTTGTGTATTACATTAGGTCAGATGTTCTCCTGTAACATCATAATGTCAGGCTCAATATTTCTTCTTTTTCGATGATTACAAGTACGAAGTTCTAATAGTCAGTCGTTCTCCATCTCGCGATTAGCCATGACCTGCGACTTCTATTTTCTAAGTTTTTTTAAGGACAATTTGCATAAATGAAACTTCCTAACAACCGAAGATCTTAAAGCAGCTGTATACAATTAGAATCTTTATAATCAAACCTGAACGATGAAGGAAACACATCGTAGTCAACAGGAACTATATTGAGATGTGGTGTCTCTTTGCCTTCATCCTCAACACCATTGGTGTACTTTTTTAGGTGCAATCTGATGAGATTGGGCTAAAGGAAGTGAAATCTCGTTTCTGTGCGAACACCCCTCGTTTTTTTATTATTATTATTTTAACCCTGAACTGAATTGCTACTAAACCTAACCTACCTTGATATCTGGTACTGCTAACATGGTGGACTTCATTGTCATGACGTCCTGCAGTTTGTACAACTGTCCACAGGTCCTCACAGGTGGTTTCAGATGTTTTAGAGAAAATGTCCTTAGACCTAAAATATTCACAGTTCCTCAATATCTCCATTAAAATGTTGGAATGCTTTTCTTTGTATTCATATATTTCTACTGAACCGCACTTTGTACAAATGAGTATAAACCTTAAATTGCATCCAAATTAATTTTTAATTTTACAGCGAAGTTAGTGGTAAGAAATAATTTTAAGTCTTCTAGTTTGCTACTTCACCGCTTTGGATTTTATTAATTATCACAAAGTAAATAAAGATAATCAGCAAAACTATTAACAAAAAAACCCACACTTACATTTCTACTACAACACTATCATTTTCCTTAGCTTTTGCAGAGTGGTGGGTTTGATTAGGCTTTTCCTCATTAATCGAGTTTGTTGTACATTCAGAAATTGTTCTAGATGATTTAGTTGAAGCTCCTTGACGAACAGACTTTAGATTTGTATTAATTTTACTTTTTATTTCTTTCTTTTTTGTCTTCAATTTATCTTCGTCCATACTTGCTGCAATCTTAGCAGTAACAGCATCCCACTTATTTTTTTTCGACGTCCGTGGCAGCTTCTTTCTTTCTTCACTCCTGTCTCTCGTTCCTTGGCTTTCCGTTGATGTTACAAATATTTCCTTGACTTTACTCTTCACATTTTTCCGAAGATGTTTTGGTTTCTTTTCATTGCTTGAAATGACAGTGGCTGTGTCACTCACAGTCGACAATATATCTACCTCTTTCTTAGATTTGTAAAGCTTAGTAGGCGTTCTATTCTCGGTATCTTTGGTTTCTTTGCTATAAATCTGACCTACTCTATCAGAAGAATTTTCATTTTCGTGCAGTACTGGTTGTGAGATTTCAGTTGATTTGTTGACCCTGACTTCAGGCAATGGACTACTTGTAATGTCTTCAGATAAGTCAAGAATCTCCTTCTTCGGAACGTTGTCAGTTCCACTCCTATTTGTTATTCCTTCCTTTGATAAGGTCACACAGTAATAGTTGCAGTTTGGTATATTTTCTTCGGGAACTATTGTTAACTTTACTTCCCATTTGACATCACTTTTTTCTGTAAAAGGCACAGTAACGTTTTGTTGACAATTGACTTCATCTTCAATGCGGTTCTTGATCTTATGATGTTCTGGACAAACATCGTCTTCTGTAAGTTTATAAAAATCTTTGTTATCCTGTCTATACGGCCGCACATCTGACTGTTCACTTTCTGACTCGGCCAACGACGTTCCAAGACCACCATCTGTGAAAAGGTCAGAATCAGTCATGCTTCCTGCCTTTAAATGTCGCTCAGACTCGTGTCCGTCAGAAGCTACTCCACTGTCCTGACTGTAAGTCGAAAATTTCATGCACCCTTCTTCTCCAGAAGAAACTAGAGTTCCTTGCCCACTTTCTTCACTTTCAAACTCGCCATCTTCGTGAGAGTTTGAATTTGTGGCTTTACTCGGGAACCTATCATAATTCACCCAACATACATCCTTAACGTCATTATTATTCGAAATTACTTCTTTGTCTTGCTGTTCTTTCCTCAGTGTTTTTATCGAATTATAATGGAAGTTGATAAGAGGAAACGACTCCTCTGACGTCTCTGTATTAATACCTACTAGGAAATCCATGTGTTTCGATAAACCAACAGAGCAATTTGTATCATCATTTCTTATTTCACTGCCTCCTGGTAACATTTCATGTTTCTTTTCCCCAAAGAAACTGTCATTAACCTCTACGTTGTTTTGCGTAGTTGAACCATTTCCCGATATCGAAAGAGTAGACTCTTTCACTAATTCATCAAATGGAGCCTCTTTCTCATTACCGCGTTTAACATTCGAATTGCTCTTATCTTTACCATGGGCAATAGACCTTAGAGGACTGTTGTGTGCCCTTTCTGAAAAGTCACCATGGGGTTTCTCCCAAATAATTGTTGTCCATGTGTTCGAAGAAGAAGACACATCATCAACGCCGACTTCTGGATTAAAGCTGGGATCCGAATCTGCGGCTCGAAGCTCATACATTAAATAATCCATTTCGTTGTCTTTCAAAATATTGTTGGCGGGATGGTCACCATGGAAAGAAACTTGATGAACAACAGACTGGGGGTCATAGGAAGCTAAATCTTGGTAGGTTTCCTGAACTGGACTACTAGAATTTGCCCCACATGGTGAGGAAGCTAGATGGAATTCGTAAATTTGATTATTAGAATATGGTCCAACATAGGAGGAAGTAGAATCTTCCTGTAATCTCTGAATGGGACTACTTTTATGGTAAAGAGATGGCGAGGAAGCCTGGTGAATCTCTTGAGAAACTACGTTACGCTCGTATGCGACATCTTCAACTATTTCAGAATCGGGCAATTCATTTACTTCGTCAAAAGAGAAGGTCTTAGGTAGCGAAACAGCGTCTAAGTCAGAAACCAGTGACGAGTGTTGTTCAGTAAAGTCCATCATCTGGTTAGGACTTAAAATTCCCAAACTGTCTTCCTGGTCAGCCCAGAACCCTCCATCAAAATCGTTCTCGTTTTTCAACAACCCTCCAAGGTCAAAGGTCATTCGTTGCTGCTGAAGATCATCAAGTGAGAGGTCCTGCTTGGAATCATCATCATCATCACCTTCGAATGTTTCTGAGTCAAACATCTGATGGTTGTTTGACAGCAAGGAAGGTTGTGCATTACAACCACAAGAGAAATAATCCATTTCATCTTTATGTTTCTCTAATGGCAGTATAAGGAGTGCTTTATTAACATCCTTGCACTCATCCCCTGAAGAGGAAGAAGAAGAAGATACATTCTGACGTTGCTCTTGGTCATTGTTGCCTTGTTCAATGTTGTTAAATACAAGGGATTCACTACTGCCCAATCCCGTTCGATCTTCTAAATCACGTGGATTTTTGTCCCTGTGATGTATCGGGGGTGGTGCGAACTCTTCGTTGAAATGACTAGATTTAATTTCAAATGACTTAGAAATATTTTCATTAGACGAAACATGTTGCGTCATTACTAAAAAGCTATTATTCAGTTGGAAAGAACTGGTACTTTTATGCTGTATTTCCGACCATGAACGTGAGTAATAATTAGACGTTTGGTTAATCAGTGGAAATCTAGATCTACTCAACTGTTTCTCAGTTAGAGGCAGCGATTTCAAGTTATCTATTGCGGTCGTGTTCTTATCGACTAAATCTTCTTTGAGTGAGAACACTGTTTCTACCTTCCGGATAGGAGCAAAGATTCCAAACCGTTGTCCACAGGTGAAGTATCTAATTCCCTGCACAGATCCGTCGTTCTTACCGACTGGTTCGTCCAGTTCCACCCCACACCAACATCCCTCGGCAAACTGGACCAGCCCTAGGTACCTGACAGTACCTTCTTTCACTCCTCCAATACGTACCCTCTGACCAATTAATCTAATTCGATCACTTTGGAGTCTAGAAAATCCCTCTATATGGCCACTACGTGGCCATGAGTCTGAAGAGCCTGGCCATGACCCACAAATATTCTTGGTAAGTGTGGTTATCGGTTTTGGTATCAGACTCTTGGTCTTCAGAAGTTTGGAAGTTTGACCAGGAATACAGATGACTCCATTCTTGTCTAATATCTGTTTAAAAAAGGCAAGCAAAATAAATAATATAAAAATAAATTTTACCAGTTATAACTATTACTAATCTTATGATGATTTTATTTGAATTTCTTATCAACGAAAACCTATTTTGTAATAATCTTTGAACTAAAAGGTACATCTATGAAAATTGGTAAAATTATGTCTTGTGTGAAATAAAAGCACTTACTAAAAAGAAAAAAATAAAGAACGAAACACTGGATGTTTATATATCATACTAGAGGGAAAACTGCTTATAGATATGGACAAAAATGCTTGCAATAACTGAATAAAAAAAACAAAAAACTTTTTAACGAGACGGAAGCAGAAAGCCGTAATAAAAACACGTTCTTTAACATAACTTTGATTGATAAAGATAAAACTGTGATACGAAAAAACAACGGCTCTTATGTCAGACCATTGACACAGTGGGATAAAACGACCTGGTTTCAGCACGTGCTTGTTTTGTTCAGTCCAGATTTTTTTTGTTATGCCTACAAAAGAATCCACGTAACGCATTGTCGTTGTCTTTGGTAAATTGCCAGTATTGTCAGATAGACACGCAGACTACAGTAAAACCGGAACAAAAGATGAGAAAAAACATAGCCAAGTGGCTGAACATATCGTTTTATAACCTGACCAGTTATTTGTTTATAAAGTTTGGTTTAAAAATCTAGTCATTATTTTATGTACTGCTATCTTGACTTTAGAGTATTTTAGGTTTAAATTGTAACAGTTATTACAAGGGACTCTTGTTTATGTATTGTTGTCCTGGGTTTGGTATTACTTGGTTTAAAATGTACCAAAGCTAGTTGTTTAGGTGTTGTATTGGTTGCCGTATTCTTGCCTTCAAAATGTAGTAATTAGCTATTGCTATTTACGTCTTGTTGGCTTGATTTCCAGTAGCATTAAATAACTTTTCGAGTTGCTTAGTTATTTGTGCATAATTTTTAATGTTAGTAATTTCTTTATTTGTGTCGTATATATGTGTGTGTGTGTGTGTGCGCGTGTGTGTGTGATGTACTTTATCTATGTATTTGCGTTGTATCTGTAGTACATACATACGCACACGAATAAGAGTATTTAAATAAATATGATTCTTGCTCCAAAGAAAACTGTTAACTAACAACCAAACAAACGCATTTTAGTGAAATTCTGTCAGGCTTACGTTTTAGCGTGAATTATAACGCATTGTACTGACAGTCTTGTTATTAAAAGTTAACGAATATTCTGACTTGATTGATCACCGTGATATCATTACAACGTGGTTTTTTTTTCTTGCTGTTTTATATGTGTTAAGACGTAGAGATAATGAGCTTGGCAAAACGCCGAGTGATGACGAGGAGGAATATGAAAGGGGTAGAAAATTTGTTTGTTTATTTTCTTCTTTCTTTTTTTAAGACTCGGGTTGAAAACTATTTTGCAGATCGAAACAAGCAGACATTTTTCTTCTTTCTTTTCTTTTTACAAAATGTTCACAATCACTGGAAGCTAAAGAATTTGTAAGTTGAAAGTATATTAAATTAAAAAAAGATAAAAATAAGGAACAGAAGTAATCGATTTCAACTACCCTAAAGACGTAAAAGGGTAGTTGGGGAAGGAAGGGGGGGGGGTAATATCTATAAAATATATCCTCGTGGCCCAGGGACAAGCTTCATGGCTTATAACGATATAACTCGTCGTTTGAGTCCTGCGGCGGCCACAGTGAAGATAGCCCATTTTCCACCTTTGTGCTAAAACAAACAAAACTATATTCTAGTACCCGTTCGTCTGGACTTTCTGTTATATACGAACAATATTATACATAACAAGTCAAGCAAACTTTCGGGGGCTAGTTTTAATGCATCAATATTTGTTTCTATCAATGGAGTTTATGGTGATACAAAGATTTAAAAGTCAGAGGAGGAAATTATTATTTTTTAACCATTTATTGTGCTACGTATATAACTCCTACACTCTAGAAATTGTCCGCGTAAATTGGTTTATCATTATAGTTAACCGAGAGAGGATTTAGTTGATTTTAAAGAGAGAAAATACCCCACTGAGCCCCTCCTCTCTCATTTCAAGTTTTTCTAATTTGAGAAGTTGTTTGTTTGAAGTTAAGCACAAAGCTACACAATGGGCTATCTGTGCTCTGCCCACCACGGGTATCGAAACCCGGTTTCTAGCGTTGTAAGTCCGCAGACATATCGCTGTGCCACTGGGGGGGGGGGCACTAATTTGAGAACAAAAAATAAAGTAAGATCGGTCACAGTAGAGTGAGGCGCTGCAGAGCCACAACTACGATCGATTTCGTCAAGATTTCGTCACTCGCCTAGTGAAAGTATGTCGAATTGCCGTCACTATGCCAACGTTGATGTAGACAGTTGTATTTCTAGCGGGGGACAAGTGTAATAATGGATAAAATGACATCCAACTTTTGTTGTGTTTTTTCTTTTCTTGGGTGTGAAAATACAGAAAAGTGTCCCAAGCTCCAAGAAACTATTCATGGTTTACAACAGACTTCCTGGTTATATTATAATTATCGTTGTTTATTGATGGCACGTAAGGTTTTATGTCTTTAAAATCAGGATTTAAAAGTGAACAAAACCTCGTATCCAAATCTTCGGTTCTTGGTATAAAAAAAAACCATAGGAAAATAAATTAGGACCGAAAATTTATGAGAACCATGCAAAGAATCTTAGGTTCTTGGGAAGTTATCTGTCTATTTATTTAAGAAATACCTAACGAACGTCATTTCTAATTATGATTTGGTGTTAACAGGAAACAGTATATATATATATGCAATAACTAACCTTTCTTTGTTAAATTAGTTGTTCGAGAAATTGGAGCCTTGACAACTGTTGCTGGTTTCAACAGATTTGAAGTCTGGTTAGTAAACCTTTTAGGAATATCTGTAAAAAACATATTTTAAACTCCTTAATTTACTTAAACATTTTCTATATATGTCCTATTTTTTATGAACAATTGTAACATTTTAAATTGTTAGTATAACACTTCATTTTAAAACCAACTAATATCATAATAAGTAGGCCTACTACTTGTGTTTTGCGATATATTATCATAACGAGAGGTGTTTTCGTAACACCTGCAATGTCGTCTGCCTTAACGAGCAGAACCTGGTGAATCACGTAGGCCTAAGTCAGAGATTTTAGCTTTTATTAATTTATAATTAAAACTAAGAGTAAACGACAGTTATTCAAATTAAACACTTTAATTTTTCATGCATGTTAAACATTATTAAGTTACTAAATGTGATGATATACGAACTTTATATATTTACAATACTGTTGGCTAGGACCTTTAAACTCCAGATAATTATAAACGATCTCGTTAGTTCTCTAAACCCGTCTCTAAGAAAATTAACTGATAGCTTCTACAAGTTAGTACATTATATCGACAACAGATGACAATTGATAAACCCAAATATTTTCACTCAGATTTATAAAATTACATAATGTTAAAAAACGTTAATACATTTGCTAATAATTTTAAAATTAAGTATTCCAGTTTTTTTTTGTTTTTTTTCATTGAAGCATTACAAAATAAAACACAAGATGGAACGCGTTCGTTTTTGTAATTGTTTTTTGCATATGTTGACGCTAAAAGCTTAAAAATGTTGACTCGTACGTCTTTCCTATTTAAATTTACTGTATTATGATTTCTTCAGAGAAACCTTATATTATTTTCACAGAACACAGTGTCACAGAAGACATAAGTCTTAGCCAATGAAATAAATATAGTTAAAACTTTTTATTACGGGTACAAGTGAATGAAAATGTTCACTAATTCTTGTGTGATATGTGACACGGTTGTAAATCAAAGACGACATAAAAGTATATTTTACGTGTAATTAAATAAAAAACAAAATACCCCCAGATCAACATGTTTAATAATGCATCTTATTAGTTAATGCAACAAAGTTTACGTTCTCTGAAAAACGAGCCGTTGTAATTTTATGAAATCAATGAGGACCTAGATACCGCCGCAGCAATGGTGACATCTAGCGGGTGTATGGTGCAACTGTAATATACGTAATCAAGTTTTAATTTTGTTTGACATTTCCAATAAATTGTTCTCTTATTGAATGTGCAGAAAGTCCAACCTCTACAGCATACTAATGTTTGTATTATATTTAACCCGATATTTTGTGAGTTTTTAATTGTGACAGAAAATAAGTACATTTATTAGGAAATTTTAATGGTCCCAACTGTAACTGTCAAAATAATTTAAAATAAGCCTCTAAAACATTGTGCCATCTACCATAAGATTTTACAACTAAATGGACTGACGACAATTATCATTAGTAGTAACAAAAAATATTTTCTTATGTATAGGTGCTGTGTGTTGTATCAAACACAATACCGCACAATAATCATATTGTGAATATAAAAATCGTGCATTATTCCATCTTTAAACATTTCTAAACAAATATTTGGAAAACACTAACAAAAATGGACATGGATAAAAAATATATCAGTTTCTCTCGATTTATATGTCTGTGTTTTTGTGTGTGTGTGTGTGTTTTGTTTAAGCGTAAAACTATAAAAAGGACTACTCACGCTGTGCTTACTGCAGAGATTGGACCCTTAATTCTATCATCGTCATAAAACCACTAGCTTCCCACTAAGGAAGTGAGAATGTTTGGCTAGAAAATTAATCCTTATATTTTTTTCTAGGTTGTTTAACAGCTTGTAATTCTTAAACTTTGATTATTTTTTTTTCACGAACCCTTAAAACAAAATTATTTAGTCATAACCCAACATCAACTAAACTAATTAAAGTTTCTGGAAAGCACTAGATTTTGATAGAAACTGGTACAGTAAAACCTTATGGAAAGCATGATAATTTGGTAGAAACTAAACTAATTAAAGTTTCTGGAAAGCACTAGATTTTGATAGAAACTGGTACAGTAAAAGCTTATGGAAAGCATAATAATTTGGTAGAAACTAAACTAATTAAAGTTTCTGGAAAGCACTAGATTTTGAAAGAAACTAAAC